TGGGGCAGCTGTGGCCCTGTACGCTCATGGCTTCCCTTGTCCCAGGTTCACTGAGCTGGTGGATGGCAGAGGGAGGATCAGCGCCAGGTTCGGCACTGTGTTGGGCAAATCGATCACTGTGAAGACACGTAAGTGCTCTGCTGCTTTTCTGGTCCCCTCCTGCCACCCATTGCTGTTCCTATGCCTCCCATCAGGACAGGGTGGCAGCTGAGCAGGCTGCTGTAGGGCTGTGAAAGCCACAGAGGAGGAGGGCAGAGTCCTCTCGCCTCTCCCTGGGCAGACAAACTGCTTGCTAGACCCCTGCCTAGGGAGAGGGATGATGCACAGACAGTTGGGGAGCCCAGAGGCACCCTCACTGATGGGAGGCAGTGCTGGCTGTGGCACAGGCTAGCCTTCTCCCCTGTCAGCAGCAGCAGGAAGGAGCCCAGGCAGGGAGCCTGCAGCCCTCCAGCACAGCCCCTGCCTGCCCAGCAGCCTGAGCCTCCACCACCAAGCACAGCCTCACAATCGAGGAAGGTGCCTGGGCAAGAAGCCCTTTGATAGTTGAGGACTAGCCTCCCATTTGCCATCCCTGGAACACCAGGAATGCAAGTGCCAGCCCAAGGTATCCCTCCAGGCCCAGGAACCCCACACTGTGGGGCAGGAAAGGGGCCTGGCACACCTGACAGCAGCCCTGGGCTCACTGCATGTCTCGGCTCTACCCCTGTCTCCACAGGGCTCTGTCCCACAGCCCTCTGGGAAGGGCAAGGTGGTCACCTTAATTCTAGGGGTGCCAGCTGGGAAGGGGTAAACCATTGCCTCAGGCCTGAGCATCCCCCTGATGCTGCAGGCAGGCTGGATCCCATTGGAAGGGCTGCCTTTGGGTCTAGCCCTAGCTGGAGGTGACATTTGACCCTCTTGTTACCCAGAGCTGGAGGCTCCAGTGAAGCTGGAGAATGTGGAGGTGTCCAGCCAGGGCAGTCTGGCACTGCAGCTGCATGAGGCAAAGAGCATGAGTAAGTCTTGGGGGGGACACACAGCAGCGGGGGCCCAGCCCAGGCCCCACAGGCAGGCTGGGTGCTTGGCACCAGCCTGTTCATGTTGCTGCCCTGCCAGGAGGCACACCAGGAGCATGGTGTGGCCTGCTGCTGGCTGCCCTGTCCCTGCTTGCCTGCTCACAGCTCTCCCGAGGAGCACTCTGGCACGCCGGGGTGGGGTGGGCAGGTCAGTGCCACGGCCCCAGGGTCTGACAGCTGTATGTGTTTTACAGGCGAGGGGCAGAACTGCTTTGTGAACCCCTGCAAGAACAGAGGCACCTGCACCAGGGAGGCCGAGTCCTACCACTGTGACTGCCGCCCAGGATTCAAAGGCCGGCTCTGTGAGCTGGGTGAGTGCCACACTGCTGCCGCAGGGCCAAGCTCCCTCCCACAGCTGCACGGTGTCTGCCCAGCCACAGGCCCCTGGGACGCAGGTCACCCAGCAAAACCCTGTCAGCATCCAGCTCCTCCTGCCCGAGGGGGCTCCCACCATGCCCCGGCTCTGCTAGAGGGGCCTGTGCTGTGCCGACAGCAGAGAGGGGCTGTGCTCTGCTCTTGTCAGTCTGGGCAGATCTGGGAGCCCAGAACTGCTCCGTGCTTCTGGCCCAGCCCTCTGTTTCTGGCACGCAGTTATCTAGGGACTTCGCTGCTCCTGGCGGGGCAGCTGCTGAGCCCAGCCCTCCCAGACAGCAGAAGGGAAGCTAGGGGGCCTCACTGGCCCCTTGCCATGGGGCACAGGCAGGCAGGGCCAGAGATGGGCTTGTTGATAGCTCCCCTCTCCTGTTCCCCAAGCAGCCTGCAAGAAGGTGCCACACTCGTGCACGCGGCTGTACTCGGAAACCAAGTCATTCCCCGTGTGGGAAGGAGGTACCTGCCACTACCTGTGAGTACTGCCTGCGGGTTGTGCTCCCCACTTCCCCTTGTGCTCAGAGCCAGGGATGTCTCGGACCCTGGTTGGCAGCTGCCCCCTCCCCAGTGCAGGCTGAGCGGCCTCATGTGCCCTCAAGAGCCCCAGGGCTGCCCCCTCCAGCTGTGTTTCAGAGCAGGGTGTTGCTAAAATGATAGCCCCGTAGCCATGTTAGCCACCTACACAGCAGGAAGGTTGGACTTGGCATGCTGTGACCCTCAAGCAGCAGCGGCTGCCCTGCCCGCTGCTTGCCAGCCCAGCTCCTAGCTGCCTCTCCACCTGCAAGCAGAGGGCTGGGTCCAGCCCTGCTGCAGTGCCAGGGCATGGGGGGGCCTCTGCTCTGCCCTCCACCCTCTCCCAGCCTTCCTGTGGGGGAGGCACAAGGGCCTGGCTCTGTGGCATCAGCCCGCAGGCATGGCAGGTTCAGCCCCATTCCCACCAAGGCAGCAGCTTGGAAGGAAATGCAGGAGACCCCCCCAGCCTCCCCCATCACACTTGTAAAAGCAGATCTGTCCCTGTTACTCCTTACAAGTTGCCCCTCTGCTGTGTGTGTGCAGGTACAGGAGAGTCTACAAGGTACACCAGGACATCTGTTACAAGGAGAGCTGTGAGAGCACCAGTTCCGAGAAGACAACCAGCAGGTACAGTCTGCAGCAGCACTCCAAGTGCACTGACCTTCCTGAGGCCCAGGACAGGAGGACACAGCCAGCCTGTGTCACCGAGCGTGCGCAGGGGTGCCCAGGCAGGGGGGTGGACTGGGAGAGGGGTGCAGGCACCCTGTGCAGAATGGAACATGAGGAGCAGGCCCCCAAGGGTCAGACACCCAGCTCGGCACAGCCTCCCTGCGAGTGATGGCTGAGGGCCTGCAGAGCTGACCGTGCTCTCCTCCCTTCTCTTTCAGAAAACCAAGCAACAGTCACACACTGAAGAAGCCATAGAGTAAGTACCTGCCTGTGGCTGCCTGTGCCCCCCACACAGGGAACCAGGGAGAAGGGTGGAGGTGAGAGCGGCCCAGGCTTGTGCTGCCATGTTGAGGGGGTGTGAGGGCTCTCCAGCTGCTGTGCTGGCCAGGGCTGGGCATATGGCTGAGGGCTCCTGGCTGCGGTGGAGGAGCAGAAGGCAATGCTCAGCTTCCTCACGGCTCTGCAGCCCCACTAATGAGAGATCCGTGCACTGGGCCTGGTTGCTGCCTGCCTGTGTGAGGCCAAGGCTGGAGCCCTGGGAGGCACACAGGGTGGGAAGCTTTTGGGGTGCACCAGCTCATTCTTTGCTTGTTCCTTCACAGGGTTCAAAGCAGTAGAAGCTTCATCTTTCCACATCTAAGAGCTTTTAAAACACCAGGAAGATCAGATCTGCTCACTTCGTTGAACACAGTGGGGGAACCTTCCTGCCTGGCATCAGCCTCTCCCTCTCCTCCAGGCTGTTACAGACCCACAGCCAGATCGGCATGCCAAGCAGCCCCTCCCTTCCGGGCCAGCACTGCCTTCACTCTGGCTCGCCTGACTCCAGCCGCCTCTCTGCCCCCGAGGAGCTGCACACCAGCCTATGCAGCAGCTGGCTGGTTGCCCCCCCGCAGGGACCAGCCCTGCTCGCCCCACAGGAGAGAAGGGCTCCCAGCTCTGCTCAGGCAGCGGCAGGGCTGCATCCAGCTCCTTGCCAACAGCATCTGCACCAACCTCTTTTCATAATCCAAGGTTATAAATTACCTATAACCCCCCAATAAAACAGTTTAATGCAGACCAAAAGAGCCTTAGCTATCACCTGAAATGTGGCCCACAGCAACCTGGTTTCTGGTTGGAGGAGGCCTTCCCGATGTAGAAAAGTCAGAACTGGTGAGCAGCTCCCTGGAGCAGTGAGGCGAGCACCAGTAGTGGAGGTGCATCCCTGTCTCCTCCACTCTAGTGGAGGAAATTGAGGCAGCTTCTACTGCCTGCCTTTTTTTTTCTTTATAAAGAATCCCTGGTTTTAACCAAATTTCTAGCTCAGAAAGCAACAGAGCACTTAGAAAGAACTTAAAAGTGATCTGTAGGGTGAAGTTTGTCAGCAGAGGTGTAATACTGTGCTTGTTCTGATGCTAATTGCCTCCAAGGCAGGGCAGGGCACAGCGTGGGCTCAGTGAGAAAGCAAGCCCCACGTGCATTTGCATTCCCTGTGGCACCAGCTGGCCCTGGGATACCAGTGCTGTGTTGTTTGCAGAGGTGAGGAATAGCATGCAGTGGCTGCCCAACCACCTGTGGCAGGGCAGGCAAGGAAAAAGTGTAGCTTAGAAATGTTCCTAGTTTGTGTGAGTTTGTATGACAACACTAGTTAAACATAGATTTGTGTATTAACATACACAGTGTATATTATAAATTAATACATACCAGAGATATATCATAGTTGTGGTATAGAGTGTTATTTCCCCAGCAGTGTGGGGGACATCCTGGAGGGGCAGCCTTCCCCTCCTGTGAGCAGTGCAGGGCACTTTGTGTCAAGCTGCAGCCTGGAAGATGCTCTTGGAGCAGAACAGGCCCAGGGATTTTGGTGTTCCAGGCACCACCCTCTTCCTCCCGGGAGCAGGGTAAGAGTGCTCAGTCTGGAGTAGCAGCTGCTGGGGCAGCAGCCTGGGAGGAGCAGGGAGGATGTAACGCCAGGACCAGCAGGCCAGTGTAATGCTCCCCTCCTGCAGCGGCTCTGCTCCCCGAGGAGAACTGGAGTTGCAGCTGGACATGCCTCATTTCCCTCCAAGGCTGCCTGATCCTGCTCCAGTCCCACTGCCCCATGCAAGCAGAGGAGTCCTGCCTCCCCAGGGCTGGGGAAGAAGCAGGGCCAGAGTAGAATCAGAACTATCCACGAGGGATGGGAAGGGCTGGGGCCATGCTCAGAGGCATCTGTACCCCTGCCCAGACAGCTGAAGCACCAGCCCTGCCCGCAGCTGGTCCGGTTTCAGCGCAGCCCCGGGGCCCGGAGGGCACTGCCCTGGGGCCCATCCCTGCAGCGAGGTGCAGCACAGCCCCACTGCAAGCCAGCATGGCACCCTGCTGCCTCCTGCCCCATGTAATGCAGCCAGGAGGTTTTAACCTAGCCTTGGAAATAAATTAGTTATTTCGGTTTGATTTTTTTTTTTTAAATAAAAACACTTTATGGAAACTGGATATTTTAAGTAGTTGCTCAATGAGGAGAAAGGAGGGTTACTGTTGTAAATCCAAGGGATTTATTGCTGCCCCTCCTTGGGGACCCCTGTAGCTGGCAGGATGGCAGGTCCTGCAACCACCATGGCCGTGCCAGTGTGGGGTGGGGGCCCAGAGCACCCAGGATGGCTGTGGGGCTGGGGAGGGCTCAGCAGGGGGGAGCTCAGGCACCTGAGAGCCTCATCTCCTCACTTCCAGGCTGGTTTACTTCCTTCGCTATCCAAGTCTTCCTCGTCCTCTTCGTATAGTGCATCCCTGTCCTCCTCCTCCTCTCGAGCCAGCATCTTCTTGAAGACCTCATACTCCTCTGCAGTGGAGCAGGCCAGGCTGCCCAGGAAGTCCTTCTCCGGGAGCTGAATGATGTCCTTCAGCTTTGGGTTATCGGTCTTGGTCTGGCCTTTGTGCGGGGTCTGGTAGAAGCCCCGGCGCTCCAGGAAGATGTGCCGGTTCCTGAGCTCAGCGAAGGGCATTTGGAAGAGCCGGGCCTTCACCATCTCCTTCTGCCGGAGCCCCATCCTGAAGTAGGCGTACTGTGGAC